GACATGATAGATATATGGAATATATAATATATATATGGAAGCAAGGAGGGAGGGGAGAATACAGGGAGGAGGCAGGGGGAAGAGGAAGGGGAGAAAGAGAGAGAGAAGGGGGAGGGAGGGAGAGAGAGAGAAACTAATGAACAAAGAAAAAATTTTAAAACAGCAGGTGGGGGTGTTACATAGCGAGAAATAAAGGTATCAGATTTGTTGGAAACAATAGATGTCAGAAGACTGGGCCGTTCACCATCTTTAAAGTACTGAAAGAAAAAACTACCCATCTAGAATTCTACATCCAGTAAAAATACCTTTCAAAAAGCACTGGTGAAATAAAGATGCTTCAAACATCCAAAGCTGAAAGAATTCTTCAACAGATGCCACCTTACAAGAAACAAGGAAGGAAGTCCTTGGATAAAAGGAAAATGATGAGATGGAAACGTGCATCCAACAGAGCATCAGCAGTGGTTAACTCATGGCAGTTGCTTCCCCTCCTGCTGGCCAATTTCTCGAGGCTTTCCAGATGCAGCTCAGGGGACACCACCTGTCCTCACCCCCAGGCTGGGTTATAAGGCCCTTCCAAAGCACTCAGTGATTGCCCCAGCTCTGCCGTCACCACACTGAATTACAACAGACTCCACTTGTCTCCTTCCTCCAGAAATGCAGGGCCCCATCAGGGCGGGACTCTGGGCTGATGACAATTAATTACCTGGTGATCAAATGAGTGGATCATACTCTGAATCAAGGTTCACTATCAGAGTCTGGAGACTACATGCAGCACAAACAATGAAGAGTGGGGGACTAGAACAATCCACTTGAGTGTTGCCAAGGCCTTAATCATTTGTGGGTCTTCTTTTACCCTATTCACCTGTATTATTAATATTACTGATTAAATTTATTCATCTTTCTATTTAAACCCATGTTATTTTTCAAGGAAAAAGCAGCCACTCTCATTCCCCTACCATAAGCATTTAATTAAAAGCTTTAAAATACTTTCAGAAGATTCTGCTGGTGGAAGGTCGGCTGGTACTTTATACATCAATCATCTTGTAGATCTGCTCTCAAGACCAATCAGTAATGTCCTCAGTCATGGCTAGACTGAGAAACCAGACTCTCATGACATATTGAGTACCCAATATTGACAGATGGGGACAGATGCTTTAAAACTGACTGTTGCTCCATAAGTTTCCTCTCTGAATGCAGATGCTAGGTGGGGTTAACTGATGAGTAAACACATTAACCAATACCAAGAAAAAAAAACCACCCAAAATAATGATCATAAAGCACTCACAAGACAGGGGAATCAGGTTGGTGGGGCACAGAGGAAGCATGGAAGTATTCCCAAGGGGACACTATATGTGTGCTAACTACCCATTTACTCACCTCTCACTAGGGCAGGCCATGCACTGAACTCCAAAAAGTACAGGTAGATAAGCCTGAGGCCACCTGTCCTTGCAAACACAACTAGAGGAATCCTAGAAGCTGTGGAGAAGGGGAAAGGC